GTGTTGTGGCTTAGGGGGTAAAGCCACCACCTGCAGTGCTGGCATCTCATATAGACACCAGTTCAAGTCCTAGCTGCTCCACTTCTGATCCAGCTCCATGCTAATGTGCCTAGGAGGACAGTGGAGGATGGCCTAAGTGCTTGGCCCCTGCCACTTCTGTGGGAGACCAGGAAGAAGCTCCTGGCTTCGGACTGGCCCATCCCTGACCATTGCAGCCTTCTGGAGAGTCAACCAGAAAATGCAAGATCTCTCAGTCTCTGAAACTCTGCCTTTCAAATAAATAAGTAAATTTAAAAAAAAAAAAAGACACCTAATCTCTTGTATCTAACCCACAATCTATTAAATATCAACCAAAAGCATAAGCTGGGGGTATTAGATTAGTATCAGACAAAGCAGAACTTGAGGTGAAGGTATTAAATACATAAAATAAAACAATCATAATATAGTTGGTTATCTACAATGAAGTTCTAGCTAGCATCAGTCAACATGTACAAAGCAGCAGTATCAACATGTATAAACCATTATAACATAATTTTCAAAAGAGTAAAAATTTGTACTCTTAGGCAAATACAAAAAGAACACATTCAAATATTTCATTTAATTAAGTAAGCAAACAAAGATCTTACAAATCGATCTAGAGAGCATAATGCCTCAAAATTTTAAAAAGCCATATATAACAAGTCAACAGCTAGCATCATATTAAAGCCTTTCTACCTAAAGTCTGGAACAAGCATGCTTACTCCTACCACTTTAATTCAACATAGTACTGCTAGCTAGAGCCACTAAAGAGATGGAAAGGCCATCCAAACCAGAAAGGAAGAACTCAATTGTCATTGTTTGCAAATGACATGATCTTAAATATAAAAAACCTCAAATATTCCACTAAAAAGCTGTCAGAATAAAAAAATTGGCAAAGGCACAAGATACATCAACATAAAAAAATAAATGGCACAATTATATAACAGTAGTGAGTCATCTAAAAAAGAAATCAAGAAAGCAATACATTTCCAATAACTACAAAAAGGTACTTGGGAATAACTTTAACCCAAGAGGTCAAAGATCTCTACATGAAAATTATAGATCATTGATGAAAGAAATTGAGGAAACACCTCTGTGTGTGTGTGTGTGTGTGTGTAACTCTTTCAAATAAAAAAAATAAATCTTTGAAAAAAAAGAAATTGAGGAAACAAATAAATGGAAAGACATCCCATGTTCATGAATTAGAAGAATCAATATTGTTAAAATGCACATTCTATCCAAAGTGATTCACAGATTCAATGTAATTCCTATTATAATCCCAATTACAGGCCGGTGTCACGGCTCACTTGGCTAATCCTCCGCCTGCAGTGCCGGCACCCCGGGTTCCAGTCCAGGTTGGGGCACCAGATTCTGTCCCAGTTGCTCCTCTTCCAGTCCAGCTCTCTGCTGTGGCCCGGGAAGGCAGTGGAGGATGGCACAAGTACTTGGGCCCTGCACCCACGTGGGAGACCAGGAGGAAGCACCTGGCTCCTGGCTTCGGATCAGCACAGCACGCCAGCCGCAGTGCACCGACAGTAGCGGCCATTTGGGAGGTGAACCAACAGAAAGGAAGACCTTTCTCTCTGTCTCTCTCTCTCTAACTCTGCCTGTCAAAAAAATAAATAAGTAAATAAAAATAAATTTTAAAAATCCCAATTACATCTTTCACAGAACTAGAAAAAACACAACTTTTGTATGGAACCACAAAAGACCCTGAACAGTCAAAGTGATCTTGAGCAAAAAGAACAAATCAGGAGGTGTTATACTACCTGACTTTAAAATGCATTACAAAGCTACAGTAATTAAAACAGTGCAGAGAAGGGAAGGGGGATTGCAAGGGCAGAAGGAGCCAGTGAGAGAACAGGAGGAGAGGACTGGTGTGGGCTACTAAAGGGCTGAAAATGAGATGGCTCACAGCTCAAACAGGGAGCCACAGGATCTGAGCTGTCACTGGGTAGGCATGGAGTGGAGAGTGATGCAAAGGCATTGGTGGAAGAAAAATAAACAGATGAGCTATTTCCTTCAGGTGCCCCACTGAGCACAAGGGAAGCTCCAGCCGAGCTCCTAATAAGGGAGCCAGCCCAATGAAGTCCCTGACATGCCTAGACCGAGAGTGAAGAGAGTCAGGCTGGAGATTCAGAGAATTTGGAAAACTATCCTATAGAGTTGATAGGCCAGAAGGCCATTCCTTTCCTCAAAGCAGAGAGGTGGTAGATCCCCCTAAGGGTTTACTGTGCTCTGCCACATGGGCACAGAATCAGTCACTGTTCAGGGACTTTTGGAAGGTTCTGGAAGCACTCCCAGAGGAAATGGAAGGATAGAAGGGAGGGACCCAAAGTCCCAGGATTTGTCTGGACACAGGTTTATGGGTGTTCCCAGGGAGCAGAGGCAGGCCATGCAGTAGAGGAAGCCAACATGGAGTGTCTAGGGTTTGTCCCAAAGGGTATGCAAAGTGTCAAGGAGGTCTCAACAGGGAGAAATTAAGTGTACCCCCCTCCAGACAACTCCTAGGGCTGCAGAGGAGCCAAGTAGCCACAAGAACAAGGTTATGGGCCCTTCTGTCCCATCCAACCCTGTACCAAGCCCAGAGCACGCAAAGTCACAGGTGAGGGCCATCCTTGGAAGGCTCTTTCTGCCCCTACTTCATCTCTGACCCTAACACCCCAGCCCTTCTTCCTCTAGGGAGTGGAAAGAAAGTCCTGGTCCCTACTGTGGCAGACTCACTGGAAGAGAGAGAACTCGGACCCCGGAAGTGTGGATATTACCCGGGATGAGACATTCTAGTTGTTAACTAAGATCATGTTGAGGGGCTCAAAGAGAAGGAGAACACCCCATTACCTGATAGCAGTCATCAAAGTCAAGGGAGGGTGGCTAGTGTTGTGCTACAGTGAGTAAGGCCACTGCCCATGCTGCCAACATCCCATATGGGCGCTGGTTCAAGTCCCAGCTGCTCCACTTATGCTCCAGCTCTCTACTAATAGCTTGGGAGTAACAGAAGAGGGCCCAAGAGTTTGGGCCCCCAGCCATCCACATGGAGGCCTGGATGGAGCTCCTGACTCCAGCCTGGCCCAGCGCAGACTCTTGCAGCCATTTGGGGAATGAACCAGCAGATGGAAGAGCTCTCTCTCTGATTTAAAAAAAAATTTTTAAACCTTTAAAAAAAATTAAGGGAGACCCAGGTTTTCATGCCAGGGCTAGGGAGGCGAAATATATTTGCCATTGGAGGATGTCCCATCAGCTGGGCTTTTTCAAGTAGCAATGACATTCTCATTGTGTTTCATTAGCTGTCAGTTCAGCCTTGTCAATTAGCAGGGTTCACGTTTACAAGAATAAATTTCTACTTTAAATTGAAAATCGAAAACAATTGGATAACAAGTGTTTAGCTATCATTTTGTTTTAATGATTCATTATCCTCTTTGAAAACAGATACTTTTGTCCCACAATATTGGTTGCAGGGGCGGAATTTGACATTTCTCTGGAACTATAGAGTTCTAGTTCCTTCAGCTGGTATTACGCAGTGGGCAAGGTCATTTTCAACCACAGGAAAGTTCAGAATGAAGTGAAATTCACAATATCAATACTTCAGGTCTAAGGCTAATGCCTGTGTATTTAGTGCTTAAAGTCACTTTTCAGAGGATTTGACGCTGTCGATTATTTGTTTAGTGGTAGGAAGGTATGATACTTCTCCTCCATCATAAGGGTCCCAGCCAACACTAGAATAACAGAACACAGGCTGATAAAAGCATAACAAATGTATTCAACCTCAGTGTTACGGACATAGGAGTCTTCAGATAGAAGACCCCAAAATTCAGGAGAAATCAACCATTATTTTGCTTGCACTTGCTGAAGAACAGACAGCCATGTGGAAGGTGATTTAAAAATGGGGGGTGATGTAATGGCAATAGACTGAAGGCAAAACCCATCAAGATCTCTTCAGAATTCCCTCCTCCCACGTATAAGGCAGGACCTCGTGGAATGAGGGTCTAGTAGCTTATCAGACAAGGCAGGGCAGAGAGCCTCTCTGTGGAGAGTTCCTACATGGAAAGGTAGGGGAAGATTTGAACAATAACTCTAGGCTTCATGGCTGGCTTTGGAAGAGAGAGGCTCTGGTTCCTGTGGCACCCTTTGGGGAAGAGGAATTCTGATTTCTGTGACTTACTAAGTGGGAGAAACAGGGGTGGGACACTGGAGGCCAGGGGAAGGTCAGAGACCCTGCTTTTAAGTCTGCTTCTGGGGTCTTCTAGGGAATCAACGTGCCGATGTCCCATGCTTTGAGGTGTCAGGTTCAAAGCCCCAACATTTGTCGGATCAGCTGTGATTCCAATTTGACATATGCAGTTGATTTTTAGGCTTAGAATTTAAGTTAAAGGAGGAAGTGGGAGAATTTCACTACACTTCTCAGTGATGCTGGGATATTTAAGAAACCTTGAAATCTATATAAATTTTCCAAGTGGTAGCTTTATAGGACTTACAAAAAGTACTTGGAGAAGTTTTATTTGTTGAAGTCCAGTCAGGCACTTGAAGGGCATAAAAGAAAATCAAGCTTATTAAATTTATATGAATTTATTAATGTGGTTTTAAAACATTAAAGGAAATTTTATTGAAATTCCTTCCATTAGAAATAGGAAATGTGGCATAGTGGGTAAAGCTGCCACCTACAATGTCAGCATCCCACATGGGTGCCGGTTCAAGTCCTGGCTGCTGCACTTCCGATCCAGCTCCCTGTTGATGCACCTAGAAAGGCAGTGGAAGATGGCCCAAGTCCTTGGGCCCCTGCCTGGCTCCAGCCTGGCCCAGCCCTGATTGTTGTGGCCATCTGGGGAGTGAACCAGCAGATGAAAGATTGATCTCTCTCTCTCTCTCTCTCTCTCTCCCTCCCTCCCTCCCTCCCCTCCCTCCATCTTTCTTTCTGTGACTTTGTCTTTTAAATAAATAAATCTTTAAAAAAAATACATAGGAAATGCCTTGAGTTGAAAATAAGACTGACTGAAGATTCATGGTTCAGGTGAACATCAAACCCAGCGAAGGGTGGGCATTTGCGCCACATTTTGTGATAGCCTTCAATTCTGTTGTGATCACAAGCTCTGGAGGTTACCCAGCAAGTGTGGCTGCCTCGAGAAGTCCACGTGGAAAGACCGTTCAGTGGTGGCTCACAGGCTCCATTCATTTCTCTTCCAGAACTGGTTATAGTAGGGAAATCTACAGCCGCTAGAGAGCACACTCAGAGGAGCCTAGGGAGCCTCCTATGGGCATGGCTTGGATAGGGTTTGAGTGGCAGCTCAAAGGTTCCAGGTGAGCAGCTTAATCCCAGCATGGAGATGTTGGATGGTGGCGGGACCCTTAAAAGGTGGGGTCCAGAGGAAGGTGAGTTGTGGGGGCACTGCCCTCTGAAAGTGTGAATGTAGTTATCCCAGGGCCCTGGTTACTTGCCGTGAGAGAGAGAGGTGTTATCAAAGGAGCCAGCCTGGCCCCCCCATCTCTGCGACCTCTGATCTCCCCGTCGGACCTCTTCTGCGTGTGCTCCTGCCGTTGGGATACCATCGGCCATGAGGCCCGCACCAGCGGCGGCGAAACAGACCCGCAGGGCATGGATTTTCAGTCTGGAAAATGATGAGCTAAGTAAGTAGCAACCGAAAAGAGTCGGAGACAGCCCCAAGGAATGAACAAGGGTTTGCCAAGAGAGAGAACCCTAGGAAGAGAGGCTACACTGGGGGCAGCAAGTACCGGGCGCTCTGGAGGCAGGCAGGCATGATGGGAGCGAAGATCCTGCCTGGGAAGGCGTCTGGGCACCATGTGCAAACACGTGTGTTAGAAACCAGTGAGCTGAACCAGAGCAAGGTCAAAGCACGTCTGAGAACCTCGTGTCCAGAGTCCAAATGCAGCGGCAAAGGTCGAAACCTGGGGGCCGGGTTGGGGCGCAGCCGCAAACACAGCACCCTTAACCCGACCCACCAACTGACGCAGGCCCTAGGGAAGCAGGAATACAGAGGGGTCGTGGGGCCCTCCTGCTGGGAGGCAGCCAGGCCTGAGCCCCCAGCTGGTTCACCTCTGTAATCCCAGAGCCTGGGGCCCAGCAGGCGCTCAGCAAGGCCAGAAGGGAAGGATTTGAGGAAAGGCGGCCTCCTGCGGAGGGATTCGGGGAGGCTGCCGCAGCTCAGCCCACCGCGGTCACCTGCTAGTTTCCTTTCGTGTTGTTTTTCTTTAGGCAATTACCTGCCAAACACAAAAGGAAGCGAAGGTGCGGCTTTGTAGCGGGGAGCGTGCTGTTTACTTTAAATGCTACACTAGGAAGTTTGCTGTGCTGGAAAATGTCAACACCGAGCCGCTGCTTAGAACTCCAGGGTCCTTTTCCCACCGCCGCGCCCCGCCCCGGCCAGCCCCCTCCTCCTCCTCCTGCTCCACCGGCCGCAGACCCCGCTCCAGACCCGGCTCCGCTCTGCTTTGAAGTGAATCATGAATCTCTTAGTGACGACTGCATGCTGTCTGCACGGGCACCAGTCACGCAGTTCCAATTGCACACTTGACATTTCTACTCTAATGTCCCTCTGTCACCTCAATGTCATCTAAAATTAAACTCCATTCCCTCCATCCCCACGAAACAGCCGCCCTTGCTGACTCCTACGGCAGCTCATGGCTTCAGCAGCCTCCCAGCCCCCACACCTCAAGTCCGTCCTCCATTAGGACTCTGCCCTCTCCCTTGCCTCCCTCCCCCCGCCCCCCCCCCCCCCCCCCAGCCAATCTCTCCCGTTTTCTTTAGCACCCTGAATGCTCAACCGCCTTGGTCCCCCTTCAGGTTCCTGGTTCTCTCTGTTCCTCCTACTGGCCTATCTGCTTCTCTGTTCTCTCCGACCTATCCTAGTTACCTTCCTGGAGCAACCTAAAACTAGCCACAGACAGCATTTTTTTTTAACACGATATGTATCGCACACTGTTCTAAGAACTTCAAGTGGGGCCAGAGCTGTGGCGTAGTGGGTTAAAGCCCCAGCCTGCAGTGCCGGCATCCTAAATGGGTGCCAGTTCGAGTCCCGGCTGCTCTTCTTCTGATCCAGCTCTCAGCTATGGCCTGGGAAAGCAGTGGAAGATGGCCCAAGTCCTTGGGCCCCTGCACCCATGTGGAAGACCTGGAGGAGGTTCCTGGCTTCGGATCAGCTCAGCTCTATCCTTGTAATCATTTGGGGAGCAAACCAGTGGAATGTAAGACCTCTTTCTCCCTCTCTCTATAGCTGTCTTTCAAATAAATGAAATAATTTTAAAAATAAAGAACTTCAAGTGTAAATATATTTGGTGCTCACAGTAATCCTCTTTCTGTTATTCTGATGTTTTTTAATTTCCAATAAAACTAATTTACTTATTTGGAAAATAAAGTGTAACATTTGGTAACTGTAGACAGACTGACTATTAATGTTTATGTTACAAATCTCACAGGTTTCGGGCAGGGTACAAGTTGGTTACTTAAGTATCTGTAGTTGGCTACTCTTGTAATACGTCCATAATCAGTCCATCAGGAATCTCATCCACTCCACTACTGTAACTCAGAAGACTGCTCTCTGCAGTCTGTCAATTCAGCACCTTCAGTAGCTTCTAAAAACCAAGCGTCATCAGTGCCGTTGTCCCGGTCAGGGTCAGAGGATGCACCTGTGGGCGGCTTACCAGGTGATGGTTTATGGGGGCTCCTGGTTTTATGTTCCTAGTCTCATCTGCTTCACCTGTTGTAAACCTCTTCTTCCATCGGTTTTGATGTTTTCTGCTTTAAATAGAGGATCATGACATTTTTGAAACCAACTTCATTTTTCAGATCAACCAGAATCAGGGTGTTATTACTCTTGTGGGCTCTTCCAATGTTTTCACAACAGTGATATTTGAAAATATCGTAAACCAACAACCGTTCTGGGAAAAATAGCTCCAATGCCTAATTCCCCCTCTAATGCCATTTATAGTCACCAAGGAAAGAACAAACTGATCGACTTCAGGGCAGGGTGAACACGGACAACCTCCGATGGGTTCTCCTGAAGGACTGGTACTATTCAAATGCTTTACTCGCTTTCCTTTGTCACATGTAAGAATCTGTCAAGTATCTGAGAACCTGACATCGCATATCAAAGAAGAGAGGAAATACTGGTTTTCTTCAGGAATACTTTTTGATTTTTAGGAAAGAATTTGTTATCTTCAACAATTTCCAAAGCCACATGGTTTCCTAATTTTGATGACGGAAGTTTCTATTTGTTGTATAAACTCCTAGATCTACAAAAAGATGCTTTTCTCCCATGTTATTCTTCACAACTAAATATGAAAGATCAGGATCGCTTTGCTTGGCTGACCCCAGCCTCCTCGGCTTCTCTGAATTCACTGTCCAGCTCTCTCCTGTGTCCATATCTGGGGACATTTTGTTACAGGAAGTCTCTTGTTTTGTTGGTACTTCAGAAAAATGAGAAAATCCATGGTCCACTGTCTCTGGAATCCTATCATCATCTTCACTGGCAATTAAGTGAAGAGTAGGCTGCAAAATTCTTCTCACAAAATTACCAACAGGGATGTAATCTTTAAATGCCACGTCACGGAGCTGAAATATCAGATGGTGGCTACATTTTTTCATCGGTGCTAGAATCCAAGTTGAAAACATCTTGAGCTGAGCAATTTACCTTGTGTACATCCTGAAGTGCTCTACAGACACACTCAATGAGTGATGCAGCCATCTTTTTCCCATCAGCCTCTGGATTGGCAGGTTAAACTCCAGATCAAAATAGAGCTTGCACACAGCATGTTCCGGAATAACTTCATAGCAGTGCAAGAGATTTTTTCTGGATTTATAATAAAACCTAAGCTGAGCATAGGTTCTTAACAAGATAAATACATTGTCCATCTTCCATTTTGTATTCCAAAGCAAATACATGAACATCATGTTTACAGATTTTAATTGTGGGGAGCAACCCGGACTGGACTGAGTTACTGGAATTAAGACTTATTCTATGCATCTGCTCTCCCACAATGTGGTGCTGGGAGAGGAGAAAACAGCTTCTACGCAGCTGCCTCTTGCCAACTTGAGTGATGACCTCCAGGAGCTGATCCTGCTCCTGATTGGAGGAGAGCAGCGTACTCGGCATGTGGGCAGCCAAGTTGGAATTGGCGGAGGAGGACTATAAAGGAGGAGAGAGACAACATGCACCAGGAACATCTATCTGAAGGAACACCTGTGCAGCCCCCGAGAGAGCCGGCCGGCGGTGTGCCGCTCCCCTGCGGAAGTGGGGAATGTGGCAGGGGGAACCGCCCTTCCACGGAGGTGGAAGGGACGGCAGCCAACCCGGGAAAAACCAGCAGCAAACCCGGGGAGGGCCGAGCAGACGAAAGAACAGCGCAGGGTCCTGTGTCGTTCCTCCATGAACAGGGGGAGCGACATTAATGGAATTAAAAGCTTGAGTTTGGGGGCCTACACTGTGGCGTGGTGGGTTAAGCTGCTGGCTGCAGGGCCGGCATTCCATGTGGGTGCCAGTTTCAAGGCCTGGCTGCTCCACTTCTGATCCAGCTCTCTGCTGTGGCCTTGGAAAGTAGTGGAAGATGGCCCAAGTCCTTGGGTCCCTGCACCCATGTGTGAGATCCAGAAGAAGCTCCTGGCTCCTGATCAGCACAGCTCCGACTATTGTGGCCAATTGGGGAGTGAACCAGTGCATGGAAGACCTCTCTGTGTCTCACTGCCTCTCTTTCTCTCTTTCAAATAAATAAATACATCTTTAAAAAAAAAAAAAGCTTGAGTTTGACGATGCAATGGTTTCCAAATGGAGGGTGGTTGCTCCAGCTTGGACAGTCTGGGTCTACATACACATTGAGCACAGTGCTTTCCTCTCACAGTGACATGCTCCCTCTTCAATCTGCTGCAGTTTTTCTTCCCACTTTCTAGAACAATTCCCATGTCATATAATCGTTCTATTTATTACTACTTTGGCGATGGCTTTCTGGTTTTTTTATTATTATTATTTGACAGGTAGAGTTATAGACAGTGAAAGAGAGAAACAGAGAGAAAGGTCTTCCTTCCATCGGAGCTGTGTCAATCTGAAGCCAGGAGCCAGGTGCTTTTTCCTGGTTTCCCATGGGAGTGCAGGAGCCCAAGCACTTGGGCCATCCTCCACTGCCCTCCTGGACCACAGCAGAGAGTTGGACTGGAAGAGGAGCAACCGGGACTAGAACCTGGTGCCCATATGGGATGCCGGCACCGCAGGTGGAGGAATAACCAAGTGAGTCACGGTGCCAGCCCCATCAATGGCTTTCTGTTTAGAAAGTTGATAAATATCATCTTGAATTTTAGCAGAAAATTTTGCGGCAACACAAACTCACTGGCAAGCGATATATTCCTTTTTACTTCTTTATTGTTTTCACCAAATGAGTGATGATGCCTACTCGCTGCTCCTGGGCCAGTCCAGAAGCCCCCTGCACACAGGTGGTGTTCTCTGACCTGGAATACCCCACACTGCCTTTCTCTTCCCTTCAAGGTCCAGATCAAGTCCTGCCATGTAGGAAAACAGCAAACTGCCGGTGCTGATTTACCGGAGGCATCATGCAACGCAGTCCCAGAGCTCGGACGGGAGGCACCCCATCCTTGTTGGCTTTCTCTGTTAGTCTTTGGGCCTGAGAGTATCCTGCGGCTCCCATCCCATGCCCTCAAATGCAGGCAGAAGCCCGCGGGTGTTACTCTGATTTCACAAAAGAGAAAACTTGAGGACAGAGAGGTGAAGTATCGTGCACAAGAGCACAGCAGGGAAGGTGGAGTAGAAGGACATGGGGCTCCCAGCCGCCTGCAGAGTACAGCCTGAACTACATCCTCCTCGGAGTGGCCTTACCTCTGCATCTCTGCTCAGCCGCACGGATGTCGGTGAGTGCTTCCTTTCACACAGCTAAATAGGCCCCGCACGTTCCTCTTCTCTGCTCTCCTGTCCCGTCCTTTGAAGTTACAACTCAATCAGCCCCTTCCAGCTCCCCTGCTGTCTTAGCTCGCAGCTGTCTCTGCTGCTCTGGGCTGCACTAGTATTGTCAAATGACTTGAACAGTGTGTCCCTGCATTGCGGGTCAAATTCCAGAGAACACAATAGAGGTCTGGTATCACAGATACCCCCCAGCAACCAGCTGTTGTTACTTAGAAATTGCGGGCAACTGTTCTGCCCAAACTTTGTTGTCTATTTTGCAACATGCAGATCAGCCTGGTTCAGCCACTCATTCCAATGTGTGGTTGCATGGAACAACATTCAGTCTCTCCTGTTTCCATCATGCTCAGATTAGCCCTCGTGATCCCAACTGCAGTTTCATGTCAGCATGCATGCTCAGACCACCAGGTCCTCCTGAAACAAATGTGTGGCAAAGTGCAAGACCAAGAGAGGAGAGCTTCACAGTACGTTGAACTCATAGTAGGCCAATTTGGAGAGAATGCTTTCAACTCCCTTTTACTGCAGACATCAAAAAAATTTCTCAATAAGATGTTTTGATTTCTGCTGCAGTTTTTAGTAGATGTATTCAGGGACAAATTCATTTTTAAAATTTTTAT